CTAGGCCCCATTAATATAATGGGGCTCTTTAATGGAGGTAACAGTGTGGCCCTCCTTTGTGCTGCTCTTAGACAGCTGAGTCTGGGTATGACAGTTTTGTGGTGAGCAGCCAACAAAGTGAATGGCTTGGAAAGTGTATCAGATAAGGAAAGCTGGTAAGAGAAAGCCCAGCGAGGAAACTTAGGGAGAGCCTAGAACTTGAATGCCATCTTCAAATATGCCAAGGGATGACCTTTCAAGAGGACCACTGGCAGAAACTAATGGGACAGAGAGGTCTCTCCCAGAGAAGGAAGAGCAAAACTGGCCAGATGCTTCATGGGGTCCTGGAGAGAGAACTCTAGCACAGAATGGGTGGTTTGACTAGCTGACCCTCAGGACCTTTCTCAGCCTTAATTTTGGAATTTTTATAAATTGAAAGTGCTCTATCAGAATTCTCCTTAAAATCAAATTTTTGAACAGGTGAAATCTCAGCGAAGGCTGTAGTTTAGTTATCAGTATTATACCAATGTTAATTTCTTGGTTTTCACAACATGCCATGGTCATATAAGATACTGACATTAGGGAAAACTGGCTGGAGGGTATATGGGAACTTTCTATATTATTTTTTGCAACTTTTCTATAAATCTAAAATTACTCCAATAAAATGTTTACTTAAAAAAAAAAAAATCAAGGGTGCCTGGGTGACTCAGTCGTTGGGCGTCTGCCTCCGGCTCAGGTCATGATCCCAGGGTCCTGGGATCGAGCCCACATTGCGCTCCCTGCTCTGTGGGAAGCCTACTTCTCCCTCTCCCACTCCCCCTGCTTGTGTTCCCTCTCTTGCTGTCTCTCTGTCAAATAAATAAATAAAATATTTTTTAAAAAATCAAATTTTTGAACTCCACTCTGCATAAAAGAGCTGTTTCAGACTAAGTGAAACAGCTAGGTGCTAAGGAGCTAGGGTCTTCAGGTTTCAAGTGCCAGAACTATAATCTGTGGGGGCGCCTGGCTGGCTCATTTGGTAGAGCATGTGACTCTTTTTTTTTTTTTTTTAAAGATTTTATTTATTTATTTGAGAGAGAGAATGAGAGAGAGCACATGAGAGGGGGGAGGGTCAGAGGGAGAAGCAGACTCCCTGCTGAGCAGGGAGCCCGATGCGGGACTCGATCCAGGGACTCCAAGATTATGACCTGAGCCGAAGGCAGTCGCTTAACCAACTGAGCCACCCAGGCGCCCGAGCATGTGACTCTTAATCTAAGGGTCTAAAAGTCATGAGTTCAAGCCCCATGCTGGGCGTGGAGCCTACTTAAAATTAAAAAGAAAAAAAAGAAAACAGAGCTGTAATCTATATTTGTTATTTACAGTTTACGAAACATACACTATTTTATCTCTACTTCACAGTCATGATGTAAGCAGGGTTGTTATTATCATTATGTACGAGGTTAGCAAACTGCATCAACGAGCCCAGGGTCACTGAGCTGTTGGCTGAGCTGGGCTTCGAATCTATCTCCTCATTCCAAGGTTTTTTTCCACCACACACTATCAACTCTCCAGGTTCTGGACACATCTCTGCTCTGCCTCAGCTAACCATTTTAGTTTACGTGTCCACTGGGTTTGGTTCCCTGAATTTTACTGCAGAATGGAAAGGGTGTTCACATAGTACTGTTTGCAAGAGTGACACATATCTGAATGTCCATCCGCAGACGAATGATTAAATAAATTACAGGCCATTCAGTCTGGAAACACTACACAGTTGTCAAAAGGAATGACGTAGATCTGTAATTACTGGCACGGGATATATGGTGAGATGAAAAAAGCAAATTGCTAGAGCAGTAATGTGTAATAAGATTACATGTTTGAAAAAAAGTAAATTAAAATGGAACTATAAACACACACATACACATATATATGCCTGCATATACATAAAAAAGGTCTAGAAGGCTATTCCTTGAGGGGCATATAATAGTTTTTTAATGAAAAAATAAACAACAACAAAGTAAACTTTGTTCAGGAAGCCTGGCGTAAAAAGGGGTGAATGGCTCACAGCTCTCCCCCCATTATCTCCTGTTCCTACACCATTTCTCTCCTGTCTCCCTGTCCAAACAAAGGAATGATAATGTTACTCTCTTCCTTCCCTCTCCTCAGGCTTGGAAGGACTGTAACACCATTTTTCTCTCAGGTGGGGGGCTTGGGGTAGAGGACCACAACAAGATTTAAGGCTCCACCCAAATCCTAACCAATAGCAAATGAACTTCAAGATCTACTTTGCTTATGTACCCTTTGTTTGGTTGTTGTTAACCCAGATACCTGTTGGGTTTCTTTGTGGCCCTTGTTTTCAGGCTAAATCTCTTATCACTGAGGTATCAGATCCTTTGCCACCTGAGTCTGCCAACCTACTTATTTGCTCTAGACCTGCCCAACAAAGGGCGGCTCCCTCAATTCTCCTTTCCATGGGAACCCGCCCTGGAATTCTACTTCCTTTCTCTTTCCTTCTCTTTCATGGGCTTGGGCCAGTGGGGTTCAATGAGACTCTGAGAGCGGTGTACCACGACAGAGAGGACAGAGGCTCTGGAGTAAATCAGGACTGGGCACAAAATCCTGCCTTGGCCTTTATTAGCCACACGACCTTGGGAGAATTTAACCTCTGAAAATTTCTTAATTGCCCCGAACCTCAGTTTTTGCTTCTGTAAAATGAGAATAAAACCTGCTCATGAGGTTGGGATAAAGAATAAGCAAGATGAGAAACAACAACAACAAAACAAGCCAATTAAAAAATGGGTAAGGACTTGAATAGAGATTTCTCTAAAGGAGATAAAAAAAAAAAAGATATGCAGATGGCACATGAAAAGATGCTCAATATCATTAATCATTAGGGAAATGTAAATCAAAACCACAAAGAGATAGCACTTCACACCCATTAGGAATGCTACTATAAGAAAAGAAAGAAAGAAAGAAAAAAAGAAAGAAAGAAAGAAAGAGAAAAAGAAAGAAAAGAACAAGTGTTGATGAGGATGTGGAGAAATCAGAACCCTATGCACTGCTGGTGGGATATAACATGGTGCAGCCGCTGTGGAAAACAGTGTGGCAGGTCCTCAAAAAATTAAACAGAATTACCACATGATCCAGCAATTCCACTTCTGAGTATATACCTGAAAGAAATGAAAGCAGGTACTCGAGAAGAAATTTGTACACCCATATTCCTAGCAGCCTTGTTCACAACAGCCAAAGGGTGGAAGCAATCTCTTGATAGATGAATGGATAAACAAAATGATATAGTACATGTATATATAATGATGCATGTATGATATTATCCAGCCTTAAAAAGGAAGGACGTTCTGACACATGCTACAACATGGACGGACTTGAGATGCTAAGTGAAAAAGACATACAAAATGACAAATACTGGGGGCGCCTGGGTGGCTCAGTCGTTAAGCGTCTGCCTTTGGCTCAGGTCATGATCCCAGGGTCCTGGGATTGAGCCCCGCATCGGGCTCCCTGCTCCGCGGGAAGCCTGCTTCTCCCTCTCCCACTCCCCCTGCTTGTGTTCCCTCTCTTGCTGTGTCTCTCTGTCAAATAAATAAAATCTTAAAAAAAAAAAAGACAAATACTGTATGATTCCACTTATATGAGGTACCTAATCAAATTTATACAGATAGAAAGTAAAATGCTGGTCATTAGGAGCTGGAGGGAGGGGCAATGGGGAGTTATTGTTTAATCGATACAGAGTTTCAGTTTGGGAAGATGATACAGTTCCAGAGATGGAGTAATGATGACGGAACAACAGCGTGAATGTTAATACTTCATGCCACTGAACTACCAAAACATGGTTAAAATAATAACATATTATGCATATTTTACCACAAATTTAAAAAAGAAAGAAAGAAAAGAATTTGCCCAAGTCCTAACTTCTCACTTAGCTGCCAAAACATCACCTCTTCCCTATGGGTAGGTTTATTCTAGAGGTCCTCTGCCTTTTCCTCCAGAACACCTTCCAGGAAAGATGCAATCTGTGGTCTCATGCATGGCACTAACTTGATCTGGAACAGCCACTGCACCCTTCTTGGTCTGTACAAACCACATCCATTCTTCAAGGTTAAGTGCTTCCTCCCATTCCATTCCCCACTCATGAAGCCTTTGCTGACCAATCTAGACTTCTATCCACTTCTCCCTCTTGTCTCTCACTGGATAATGGACATTCTGAATTATGTGCATCATGGTCACAGAGGACAGTGTCTTCAGCTTCCCTGGGGTTGTCACTCACTTGTTTCCACATCAGTATAGTAATGTGTGTCCTAATGAATGACGAATGAGGCTGTGTACATGAAAACAGAGGTACACAGACCAACCAAGCCTTGGTTCCTCCCTTACCCTACCGTACACAACGAAAACCATCAGTGACTGTCTGATGGTTTGTCTGGCTCAGCTTGGTTACTGAACAAAAGGCGGGAATTCTTTCTCAGTGTGATGATGTGGACCCCTGCCTAGCATAGCTCCAGGAAACAATGGATTTTGATGCTGGAGTATATCATCAGAGGAGTGGAATGAAAAAGCAGGCAGAATTCCTTTCCAGGAAAAGGTGGGTCTCTAACAAGCCCCCATTAATAGTAATAACCAATGTTACTGAGTGCTTACTAGATATGAGACACGGTGCTAGAGGTGTTTTATATGGGTTATCTCATTTAATCTTCATGAATAAGCTCATAAGATAGGTACCATTTCCCCCTTTTACAAATGAGAAAACTGGAGCTTAGAGAGTGGATCACTCACTGAAGGTCACAAAGCTTTAAGTGGTAGCACTGGGAACTGGCCCAGGTCCATATGATTTCAGATTCAAACTGCACCAAAGCAAGCATTTTGGTTGCCCTCCGCAGCTTCCCAGGACCTTTTCCGGTGTGAGGCGGGCACCGGGAAGTGGGAGGGTCACTGCATCTGGGCTGAGGCCTCAGGGAATTCCAGGCCTGGGCTGGAGGTGGGGGAATGTTAGCAAGTCTCTACCATTCGCACCGGGAAAGGCCTTCACCTACCTCCTGGAGAAGGCGAGGTTAGCAGGCTAGTCATTGCAGCAAGTGGATGGGCACCAGGCAGAGGCAGATCTGTATGAAGAGGGACAAAGACAGGCGTGAGGTGGGCCCCTACCTGGGGCTGGAGACACTGAAGTCCCAGGAAAGCCTTTGCAAGGGCCGGGTTTTCCCGGATTCCTTCCCCCACGGGGCTAGTCCTAAACCCTTCTCTTCTGGTTTCCCTGAATATCTCCTCAGGCTGCAGGTGCCAAGAGCAGAGCCGAGACCTCTGGTACTTGGTGTGGGTTGCCTTTGACCGTACTACCCCGAGATCCTTTCACCTGGCCACTACATTTACCTAAGGGATTTCTCCCGGCCTGAGAAAGTTAGGCGAAGGTATGCAAATTAACAGCGGACCCAGTTTCACCAAGCGGCAGGCACAGGTACCCCGCTCTCCCCCGAGCCGCGAGTCTGCGCGCAACCGTCCACTAGGGGGCAGGAGAGGGCCGGGAGGGCAGGACGCGCCGGCTCCCGAGCCCGCGTGGGGGCAGGGCCGGGGCCTGGGGGCCGGGAGCCAGACACTCGAACGTGGACGTGAGGGGCCTCAGTCCCCTTCAGGCCCGTCCCCGACCAGCCGCTGCCCCGCGCGGGCCCGCTCCCCCGCTGCCCGCAGCGCCGCCCGCGTACCGCCTGCCGAACCCCACCGGCCAGCCGGTAGCGCCGACCCCGCTTGGCCCGGCCCGGGACTCGGCGCCCCGCGCGGCCGTCGAGCCTCGCGAGGCGACGACCCGGCGACCCGGCCTCGGCCCCGCCCCCCGCCCCGGCCCTCCGGCGTTACCGGCACACGGCTGCCGGGGCAGCCCGCGGCGCGCGCGGCCGTCCGTCCGGGCAGCCCGCTCCGAGCGGCCGCGACGGGAGAGGCTCCGGCCGCTCTGGGCTCGCGTCGCTCGCGCGGCCGAGGCGACTGCGGTGTGCGCGCGGCCCCCGGGCTCGCCCGGCCTCGCCCGGCCTCGCCCTCCCGCTGTGCCCTCCTCCGCGTGCTCACCTTACCGGTCGGACGGGCGGCCCGGGGAGGGCGCGGCGCCGCTCCGCGCGTCCTTTTGAACCGCCGGGGGCGGGAACGGCGGAGGTTCGCGGAGAGCCGCCGCGGGACACGGAGCGGGAGGAAGCCGCGGACGGACGCGCGGAGCGAGCGGCGGAGGCCGGCCGGGCGTGGGGGTGGAGGGCCCGGCCGACTGGGTGGGACAGGAAAAGAGGAGAGAAACCGCCCTCTGCAGGTTCCCTCCGCCCGCCCGGCCGCCTCTGCTCCCCCGGGAGGAAAGGCTGCTTTTCCTTGTCCGATTGTCACTTTACTCTCCCCCCGGAGCCGTTTCCTCCCTCGGCCCGAAGCTCCAGGCGGCGTGGGATCGGAACTGGGATAACTGGGATCTGTCCGCTTGCCCCCCATCGACGTAATTTGCATTTCCAGCAGATGTGGAAAGTTACATTTACTTGCGTTTGCATATCATTTACGTAAATAGGTCGGTGTCCAGAAGCTTGGAGCGTGAGCTAACTCAGTAGGCGCACGGCGGCCGGGAAGCTGGGAGGACTGGTGGGGAGGGGACCGGTGCCCCATCCGGATCTTCCTCGTCTGACGTTCTTCTGAGGCCATGTAGTGTAGAGGTTAAGAGCTAATGGACTTTGGATTCAAACAGTCCCAGCCCCGCCGCTTGTTAGCTGTGTCACTTTGGGCGAATTACCTAACATCTCTAAAATCTGGTCCCTCGTCCCTGAAATGAAGCCATACCATAGCCACACGTTTAGCACATGGTGAGCACCTCAATTTAACTGTTAATCAGTGCCGTACTTTAGCCATCTTGACTCACTTCTCTGTGGCGGGAAATGTTCCCAAATTAATGAACTCAGTGACTAAGGTTGAAATACTATAAACACAGGCTCTGGAATGCGCTTTGCTGTGTGATCTTAGACAAGGGACTTGGGTTTCATTTCTCTATCTAGGGCCATACCTGTCTCATGAAGTTACTGGGGGGAGAGAATGAGTTAATACATCTAAAGCATTAGAACCTTACCTGGCACATAGTAAGTGCTCAGTAAATGCTAGCTATTTTTATCTTGGCTTCCTATTTAGGGTTAGGACTCAAGTGGTTATTCTGCCAGTGATACAGATTTCCTTGCTTGCTTATTCCTAGAGAACTCCTAGAACTCCTAGAGGAGTTCTCTAGTTTTGGAAATCAGTATTTATATAGACTGATAGGTCTGGTGCATGTTCATTTGGGGAACAAAGGCTGACAGAAAATCTCAGAGAATAGAGGCATAGTGTGAGAAAAAAAGCGAAAACATAAATAAAATAAGCAAGGGTGGTTGCTTTCATTGCTAATGATATTATTTGGTCGGTAAAAACCAGAGGAAAAAACAGAGTAAGTTGATGAAATTCATTTTATTTAAATATATTTTAAAAGGCACAGTAGTTACCACTGAGGAAGAAGAAAGCCCCTATGTGGGAAAACTACCAATCCAACCAAGAAAGGCAGAGAAAGTAACATGTAGGCAAGATGTATGTAAGTTAAGAAAAATGTCAGCCTGGCTAATTCTCAGATAAAAGAATATCCAACAGAAAAGGAAATTCAAATCCTAAGGGTTAAATTCTGAAGGTGGACAATTGCTTGCATTTACTGACAAGCTGATCATGAATTCCAGGAAAGGTTGAGATTTTTTTGTTATCTGGTTAATCTCCCCCATAGCATATTCCATTACGTACTAACGATTGTCCCCACCCCAGCAGACTTTTTTTTTTATATATAGATTTTATTTATTTGACAGAGAGAGACACAGCGAGAGAGGGAACCCAAGCAGGGGGCGTGGGAGAAGGAGAGACAGGCTACCTGCTGAGCAGGGAGCCTGATGTGGGGCTCGATCTCAGGACCCTGGGATCATGACCTGAGCCAAAAGCAGATGCTTAACAGCTGAGCCACCAGGCGCCCCCCACTGCAGACTCTTAGAGGCCATCCAGCCAACTGACTCTACTGAAATGTCATGTTACTTTCACAATTTCATGGTTAATCACTCACCAGTAACTTTTTTCTCTTTAAAATGTAACCTTAAAAGATTTGCTGGTACATGATTTTATCCCTGTAGGCACATACCATTCATTTAAAAAGTGTAAATATGCAGAAAAATAAGATCTAATACACATATGCTCAGCACCTAATTTAGCATAAAATAGCAATACTGTAAGCAGTGTGTGTGCTGTTCTTTGGTATATCTTGTATATCCTGGCTGTGTCATGTTTCCAGTGTTCTCTAGATATCTCACCTAGCCTGTCAATATTGTCCTTCAAATTGCTTGAAGGCAGGGATTGGGTGATGTTCTTGCAATTAATTTTGTATAGAGATGCATCCAGATAGATGATGAATGGAGCCTCACTGGTGGTGATGTAGCAGTGTTCTCCAAGGATTGAATGCTAAACTTCAGAAACTGGAGCAGCCTTCCTTTTGTCAACAGACCGCAGGGGCCTCCGGGCAGGGAATAAGAGATACTCATCTCTGCCCAATTTACTGGCTTCTAGCCCCTTCTTGTGCTGCTGCCAGGATGGCAGTCTTCTAAATCCTAGCCTTTCCCCTGAACAACTTTACCATTATTTAAAAAAGATTTTATTTATTTACTTAAGAGAGAACACAAGCAGGAGGAGCAGAGGGAGAAGCAGATTCCCCACTGAGCAGGGAGCGGGATGAGGATGTGATGTGGGGCCGGATCCCAAGGACCTTGGGATCATGATCCGAGCCGAAGGCAGATGCTTAACTGACTGCGCCACCACGGAGCCCCAACTTTACCATTTTGTAAATCAGGGTAAACAACTTGGTTCCTAGCCAAGACTATCTATCCTAAATAAGCAAAATTATTAGTTAGGTCCAGCATACCGGCCCCTTCCCCTGCTTTGCTGGAACCTCCTTTAGGGCCATATGCACATGAAGTGGCAATCTCACAATTTAGTAAAGGTCTCCACTTTTGTCGTGCCTCTGCCATAGCAGTTACCTTGGGTGCGTGTCTCCCCACATCAGACTGTAAGCCCCTAGAATCCTTGCTGGCACACTCCTTTCCTAGGAGGGGAAGCCTTGCAAAGAAAAGGCTTGAATTGGATTTTGCTGGATGAATGTGGGAGAGGCGATTCCAAGCAGGTCACGGAAGGCCTTGGACACTTCCCCCACCCTGCTGATACCCCTGGACTATCGCTCCTAGCCGTGACTCTGAGTGCCAAGGGAATGGGATGCCTTATGGGAAACGTATTAAAATACAGGCAGTAGGGCTTTCATAGGGGGGCATGCAACCTCTTCTCCATTTCAGCAGTAGAAATCTTTTGAAAGCTTTTAAGTAAAAGTAGCAGGATTAGATCTTAGAAGAATGACTCCTAAATACAAACATTTATTTCCAGCTCCCTAAAGGACACATCTACTGGAAAGTCCTGTAAGTTCTCAAGCTCCTTGTTTCCAATGTTTGTACGGGACACCCAATAAACTACACAGAAAGTGTATAGTGTGATCAGTTTCGACACATGTATGTACTCATTAAACAATCGCCACAGCATTATATTTCCATCTCTCTAAAAGTTTCCTTGTGCACCTCTTCCCACCACCACTGGTCTACCTGTCACTGTGGACACTACCATACCTCTCCATAAACTGGGCCAGTCTCATTCTTTCTCCAGGGGATCTGGATCTGGAAAGGACAGAGGCAGAAGGTGATGGAAGCAGAGTCTTGCTTACAGGGCCGTCCAACACATTCCTGCGACAGACAACCTGGGGTGGTTCTTGTCCTTTCCTGTTCTTTCAGTTCTATGAGCTGCCTAATGTCCTCACAACATATTCTTTATTGCTTAATCGGGGCAGTTTGTTGTTTGCGAGCAGAGAACCCACCCGCAGCGATGCCTGTCCTCCTGTCATCACCATTTCAGAGAATGGCACCACCAAAGCCTAGTCTCTCAAGCCTAACCCAGAGTAATTCCTTATAACTTCGGTCATGTCTCCTCTTCTAACACATTCCTAAATCCTGCCCATTCTGCTCCCTGCTCAATAGTCTGTCTCCATAAAGTTCTCACTTTTTTTCCTCATCATTATTTCTCTAGTACCTAGTATGGTGCTTGGTGCAGAGCAGGTGCTAATAAATGCTTGCTGAATGACTGCATGAATTGCGACATCGTCCACAACCCCAGAAACAGAAGCAAAAATGGAGGAGCATCTGCATGTGTGTGTTTATTAGGGTGGCAGGACTTCAAAGTGAGTTTTTAATGTTTTCACTGAAGTAAATGATAGGACTTGAATCCAGGATTCTGGATTCTAAATTCGCCATCTCTGTTCTATTATTCTATTTTGTATCCTTTCCCTTCACTTGGGAGTTCCATTTCTCCTTCCATCCTGCTCAGATATTCAGTTACACCAAGTGGCAGACTGTAAACACTAGCTACAGCTCTAAAATGTAATCCCTTTCCCAGGGTATTTGCTTGTTAGCTGAAAGTGGGGGTGAGGGGCATGCCGTAGAGCATCTGGATTGAGGAAAGGAGCCTGGGGCCCCTGGTGTCATTCCGACTGGGGCTGGGGGTCAAGGATGTGACTAAAGTTTTCTGAACGTGCGGTAGAATCAATAACCTTACCTAAGTGGAGAACACGGTGCTGGGCTGGAACTCCTTGTGTCAAAAAAACAATCCATAACACAGTCAGAGTAATACTTTATTTAACAACCTGAAAATCTGTTCTTTTGGCTCTAAGTCTTGCAAAATGAGTGGTTCACTGTTCTTTGAGTATGTGTGGTAATGTGTCTCTATGTGGACGTGTCTCAGTCTACAGATGTTTATGCTTTTTATAGTCATTTTAGGCCCACTTTACTTAATATATAATATATAATTTTTATTCTAACAATGCTAAAGCCTGAATTAAATATTCCCGGGATCTAATAGTTTCTTCTCCTAAGCCTGCCGCCCTCCCTCCCCTAAGTCTGCTCCTCAGCCTCCATTAATGCTAGATCTTTAGAGACCACCAGCATTC